ACTTTAATATTAGTAATGTAAAGAATACATTTATTGTCTAAGTGTACACACTTATACATGCACTTAAGTATTATATATATGTAGCATATACCAAATGTGTATTTAAACACTTAACCTTGCCACATAGGATAATTTGAAGTGTTATATCACATTGGATTCATTTTTAACATTTCCATATCAATTTATTGTCATTCAAAAAATGCATATTGCAGTATTCGTATTACTAATAGCAGTGAAAACACCATCAAGCTTGACTTAATCTTCAGAACAATGTAAGATTGGCATTTTCAGCAAATGTAAGGAAGAACATACAAACTCTTCAGTACTGGTGCAACTTCTTAACAAAATTTCCTGGATTAGCTAAAAAAAAAAAAAAGAAAAAATATATATATATGCACATCAAAACTTCATCATCTGATAGTACAAAAGACTGTTGCATTTTTTATAAAGTAGAACTAAAATATTGGTGCCTGTCACTGGTGTTGGGACAAGCTTTAGAACATATGACCATGTTAGTTTACTCACCACCTTGAGGTAAATACAATGTAAGGAAAGAAGAAAGAACTCATCCCAGAGGGGACATAGAGGTGAGCTCCATGTGCCACAGCAGAGAAGACATTTGTAAACCTCATACCCTGCCTATGCTTTTCTGAACAGTGAAATCCCACTCATGTTTTGCAAGCCGGACCACACTCCCACTGCCTTACCAGATGTTGCCATCCAGCTGCTCCTTCCAGGCTCCGAGGAAAAATCCAATTAACTGTGCATGTGTGGCAGCTTTATTAGAGCAAGCACAGCCAAGTGTGACACAGTTTTATCTTTTACATTAGTGGAATAGTAATTTCAGGGCCATCAATGTCTCTTTAGCACAGTGGTGTCTGCTCCTGTTCAACAGAGGTACTCCACCCCCAGACAGCCCATCCGCTCATTCATATACATCGTACCCAAGAGAAGTCCTTCAGCATAAGTAAGTAAGTACATCATTTGGAAATCCTTTGGAGTCACACTGAAGCCAGATGTGAGCTGATTCTTTGTAATTTCCTTCCCACACCAATTAGTGGCAGTTTTCCTTTAAGTGGGCACTTCTTTTTAGCAGTGAAAGAGCTGCTTTCAAATTGCAACAGTTTCAGAGAGGAAGATCTAATCTAAGGGAGGTGATATTGTATTGAACGGGTTGCTGCTAATACCCTTCAGCCACAGCATGAGACATGAGGAAGGATAATCACACAACATAGGACCATAGAATGGTTAGGGTTGGAAAGGACCTTAAGATCATCTAGTTCCAACCCCCCTGACATGGGCACAGACATCACCCAAGGCTTTGTCCAACCTGGCCTTGAACACTGCCAGGGATGGAGCATTCACAGCTCCCTTGGACAACCCCTTCCAGTGCCTCACCACCCTCACAGTAAAGAACTTCTTCCTTATACCTAACCTAAACTTCCCCTGTTTAAGTTTGAACCTGTTACCCCTTGTCCTGTTACTACAGTCCTTTATGAAGAGTCCCTCCCCAGCATCCTTATAGACCCCCATCAGATACTGGTATGAGGTCTCCACACATCCTTCTCTTCTCCAGGCTGAGCTGCCGGCTCCTGGGCAAGGCCTGTCGAGGACTTGAGGCTCCCTTAGTGGCTCTCGCTGCCCAGAATTGAGGCTCCTAGATGCTGTGTTTCCACTCGCTCTAGTGTTGAAGGTGTCCTTTCTGGAGCTACTCAACTTGGCATCTTCTAAAAGGCAAAGAATGCAAGCATTCCAGATATTTTTTAGTTTGTGAGAACCAGAAATATTTATCAACCTCACTATTTCTGTAGAATATACTGTAACAATATTGCTGAAAACTGTTGTTTCTGTCATCTTCCCAGGTAGTAGGTAGTACCAGATGTGATACTGCAGGAATTAATCCACTGTCCTGGAGGTCTGGGTTCCAACTCAAAAACATCCTGGAAACTCCGGTATGTCATTATTGTTTCCATAGGTTTTGAGTCATGATCTGTTCAAGGTAAGTCACCCTCTGGTGATTACAGGACAATCCTCTGGAAATGTCCTCCAGCCATGCATCTGGCGGGGCTGTAATTTAGAGAACTGTACCTCGATGGTGCTCATCACGTTGTTGCTAGAAAGCAAGCTTCTAGATATTTGCAGGCAGGCTTGTGCTCCAGGTGGGTGTAGTATTGAAGGATTCTTGGATCCTTCTACTTATGAAGCATGAGAAAGGTAGTTAAATCTGAATAGGACATATTGCTATAGCCATTACTAAAGGATGCAGAAGGCTGCAGAGATGTCTGATATATTCACCATTTGTGAAAAGGAATGAAATGAAAAAACAATTTTATATTTTTTCTGATTTCTCTCTTTTTAAGACCAAAAGCAGAGCTTTCCTAGCAGAGGACACAGAAGCCAGGTAGGAATTCACCAAAATAACCCCACCTTGGCCTTTCAATCCAAAATGCCACATTTCGTCAGTGTTCTCCTTTGGGTCGGCTGTGTGGGCTCTGTGCACAAGGCTAACTGCTGTGTTTGCTAGGCGGGTTGATGAATTAATAATAATTGGCTATGAAGTACTTCTATGCTATGAGGTATTTGAGGTCATGCTGCCTGTCATTGGAAGTGTGGTTTCCTTACGATTTGTGATGGAGTTATGGACCTGGCCTCCAGCTGTCCTGTTGCTGGCTGGCCAGTGGCCCTGCACTCAAGCTAGCCTGGGGAGCTGGAGCACAGCTCAGCTTGTACAGCACCTTCACTGCTGCAGCAATAAGTAACTGCAGCATTAACCATTCCTTATGTGGCTAAAGAAGTGTATATTCCTTAAAACAGGTGGGATTATCCTCTGGTACCTGAAAAGCTGTCATCTACAGAGGGATTCATTGGACATGTTTTCTGAATCTGCTGCTCTTTTATTGCCATAACACATTTCTTTGCCTTGCTGAAGTATGTTAGCCAAAGCTGGAAGGATCTGCACAACCACCATTAGACTTTAAGTGAAATTGCCGTACATTTCTCTGTTTTCTAAGCCTTTGCATGCCAAGGTTCAAGCACCTGGAATGCCAAAGTTCTTTCTTAATTAAAGCTTCTAATTACATGGCTAGGTGAGACAGTTTTACGAAGTTCGTTAACCTGCTATTTGACCTTGATTTAATCTCCAGGCTGTGCTTTCAGTCTGCAACAGTGCTTTTGAAGACCATTTTTGCTCTGGTAAATTAAGCTTTGACCATGCCAGGGGTGGGAGACATAGGTTTTAAAAAACAGACCTATTGGGAGTTGATCCAAAGCCCACGGACAGAAACTCACTGATTCCCGTGAGGTTTGGGTCAGCTCTGGGATGAGCAACTTAAAACTTGAACATTTCTTGAAGAAAAAAAGTGTACTTGAAAGGCCCTGTTTGCAGCAGGCTGTTCTCTGGGGTAGTTCCCCCAAAACCTGAACATTATTAAAATTTTAAAAAGTCTCTGTAAAGAGGAGCTCCGTTTACACATGATGAAATAAAATGCATGTAGTTACATGTGTACATACATATGCATATATGCATATATTATGTTCATGTGTATATAGATATAATGGATAAAGAGGTGTGTATGCACACATTTCTGTATACATATACCGTATATCCACGTGTATGTCTCAAAGGCCAATTTCAGCTTACATATGACATGAAGAACCCTGCTGAAAGTGGTCGGGCTTAAACTTTCATTTTGTTCAGGAATTAAAAAGGCAGAATGTTTCATTATGAAGTGAGCTTTCCTTTTGTCCATCTATCCAAACAAATGGATAGTGGCTCAGTGCAAAAAGCTTTATCTAGTGGTGCCTGCCTCTGCCTGTGCTCAGTACAGGTTTCAGAGCAGGATGCATGTCAAGCTGTGTTTTCAATGCACTCTCCCCCTTTTCAGCAGTCTGTTGGGTCTGTAACACTGTCTTGATGCCTTATGGGGCAAGCCCACAAGAGTGTACTATTCATAATGTCGATCTGGTATCTTAATACTAGAGAAACGTTAGCTGAAAACTTTAATATACCAAACAAATATATGACTTTTTTCAAATACTGTTTTCTTTGGATTTATTTTGCCCAGTGAAGCAGCCAATAAAGTTCTGAAAAAGGATATTGAAAGCAGAACTTCATGGTTTTCAGGGAAGGTATTATGCCTTCAGTGAGAATCTTCTGCTGCAGTGAGCAGCAGGATTGTGTCAACCTCTGGTGGTGTTGTGCTATTTTCTGAGCGATTTTTTTAAGTGCTAGAAAGTCAAACTATTGAGGAAGTGGGAGTCAAAAAATCCCACCCTGTACACATGTAGTATGCTTGTTGCTGCTTACTTCCTTCTGTTGAAAGCTTCCCAATACTCACCATGGCTTGTGGACTTTAATGGGATGTCATGCAGCAGGAGATGTTTCCCAGCATGTGTAGGTATCAGACCTAAAGAGAAGCATTACCTGAAGAGCTACTATCAACCTGCATTGAAGTGTCCCCGAGTTCAGTGTTCTGCTACTGTGATCTCCAGAGAAGGACAATGCTGCTGCACAGATGTTCCAGAAGTGAGTGGCGGGGACCAGGATCTGCTGGACTGCCCCTGCTTGTAAAAACTGCAGGAAGGAAGAGACACACCAGGGAGTACTCCCTAAAGTGGCCAGCCAATGTCTGAAGCTGTAATTTCTCAGCCTGTTTGAGTTCCTCATAAATTATTATTCTGAAGACTTGGTAAAAGCTGCACTCTGTGGCAGAAGTGCACACAGCTCATCGGAGGTACTGAGCCTCTCAAAGCCAAGAAGACAGAACAGTGAGGTTCCCCAGATAAATCTAATGAGAAAAATTCTGAAAATAAGTCTGGTGTATGCAAAGTGGTAGGAGGTGACATGAGAGGGAATAGGTTGAGGGGTCAGTAACCTGCAGTTCCCCTCTCTGCGGTGATGGGATGTGTCATTGCACCAGCTTACTTAAGTAGCTGTTCACCAGTAGCTTCAGAGATACAGTGTAGTGTGTTCCTTCAGAAAAAAATATTTGTCAAAATGGTAACTTAAATGATCATTTTCTCTGGATTGCCAATTTCATTATTATTTTATGGGGAAGCTTCAATAAATTCAGTTTCTATAAATTCAATAAATTAATTACGTTGATCCACCTATGACATGTTTGCTACTCAGCTGTTTTACCATGAAATTTCAAAGCAGAGGGGAATCCTTTAAATGAATCTTAAGCACAGTTGCTAGAGTTTGCTATTACCTTTGACAGCAGTTTATTCCCATCAAATTTAATTGTAAACATACTTTACCAATCTGTTTATATCACATGTTGCACTCTTGGGATACAAAGAGTCTTTAATATGAATTACTATTATAGTAAACATACAACAGCATTTCCTTCAGCTAAATGAACACTCAGAGACCAACATTTATTAGTTAACCTTGAAACTTCAAGTTTAATCTTACATGTTCAGATCAAAACACGGGGGAACATAAATATCTGGCTAAAGTCATACAAAAACCCTGTTGACACCCCTGCAAAAAGGAAACCCTATGACTTCTACAAGTATCTTAGTATTTTATATATCAACAAATTGAAACATCATTTCAGGCTAAACCAGTAATCTGAAAACATTTGTTTTGTCTGGCCTTAAATACTTCTCTGTCATAGTGACTTACATAGCCAGAATTAAGATGAATTAAATATAGGCAGAATTACAGCCCCAAATCCATGCAGCTAACACCGACTGCATTTATTTTTTTTTTTTTTTTTTTTAACGAAACAAAGATTTGGCACACGTGAGGTCAGCCAGAAATTCTATTCTGAAAAAACATGGAGGTTTACATTCAGTTCTCGGTTTTGAAAGATGAAGTTATACGGAAGTGCCATGCTGTTTAAATTGCAGATTTTTGCATCGCATGGAGACCTTGTAGTTGGCCTTCAACAATACTGAAATGTGACTGCTTTGTATCCATAATACATGAAAATGAACTAACTAGTATGTTTTTATAATAAAAAGTATTCTAAGATGACACAGATGCAGTATGAAAGTGGGAAAATTGAAAGACAGTTCTATAATAGTGAGAAGATTAAGCGGTATGCGCGATGTTATTTTGCAGGCATTTTAGCTCCATTGCACGGTGTAGCTTCTGCCTAATTCAAGTTGAAGGTTTGTGATTGTCAGGAGCTGTGAATAAAACAGACAAAATGAGCAATTAACAATTCTGCCTTGAAGATCCACTGCTTTTTTTATATTCATCAGAGATAGTGGCTTCTTGGTTTAGGTAAGAAGAATTTATGCCTCTTCATTTGCTTTTGTGTTTGTATCATTATAAACATAGTTTAACCAGCATAGATTTCTGGATTTCTGATGGTGAGGCTCTGATCCATTCCCGTGATTCAGAGGCCCTCATAGAGTTGACATTCCTGTTACTTTTTTTTTTTTTAATAAATCTTAAAGAGGCAGCAAAACTTGGAACATCCTGTGATTCAGCTGGGCGTACAAATTCCCCCCTTTTTTGTTCCATCCAAAATTCAACAGCAGAATGAAACATTTTCATTTGATTTTACATTTTTAACTCATCTTTTTGGTTAGTCACAAAACTCACATAGTTCCAGCTTTCTGTGAAAGAGAAAGAACTAAGACTTAACAGAATACTGAATTTCAAAGGAAAGGCAGTAAGATCCCAGCAATAGAAGAGTTTAGGCAGACTCCCTCTGTAAGAAAACTGGCAAGACTGAATGCCTCAGCCATTCTGTTCATACCTGAAGGATGGCCCAGAGAAGCGCCATCTCAAATGGCAATACAGTTATATGTATTTATTTCAGCTGCTTTATTAGTGCCTGACTTTACTGTCCAGTGAGGTGGGAGGGGGAAATTCTCTGGACCGGTATCACCCATGCAAGTGGAAGTCCCAGGGCTCTGAAGGTGGTAGAAAGTGTGCCGATAACTTTAGAAGTGGGATTTGACTCGAATGTAAGAAAGAACCCTGTGCTGCAATGCCTACAGCCAAGATGTGATATGAAAGAATAGGGAATGATTGTAGGCAAACAGGGCTGGGAAATGAAAATGCTGTCAGACAAGACTAACAACAATGAGGTCATGTTGAGGCGATGAAAATACTTGCAGGTTGCAAGTAAGCTATTAAGAAGAGTGGAAACAAAGCACAACCTAAAATCCACCACTTTTTCACTGTTGGAAGCAGTTTGGGTTCCTAACAGCAATTGCTGTGCTCTACCATACCTACCTACAGTAGGTACTGTATGGTATAATCAGTGTATTGTATAATAAACAGTATATGGTATAATCATCACCTGATGTATCTTATTAAATACATTTTAAATATAGTATTACAGCTGAGAACTGGATCTCCAAATGTTTAAGAGCACATATGCAGCCATAAGGTGGCATTACCCTGCAAAAGGCACCTCACCTGCTTGGTGTTATTGTAGTCCACAGCATGAGATGATGCAATTGTCCCACCATTCTGCGATATGTTCACCTGTGTAACTTTGGAGGGCACCCCCAGGACTTTAATTTCAGTAAACATCAGGTTGTTTGGATCAGAGTAACCGTGATGCAAAACTGTAATATCTAAAACATTCTGAAAGGAAACGGAAAAAAAAGAGAAAGACTTGCCATTGGACTGGTACACATCCACTTGAACTTTTCAAACTTTTCACTTGAGAAGAAAATCAAATTCTTTGCTGGGCAGTCATATTTCTCTGCAGCTGTAAACCAGGGTCAAAGCCTGCTGACCTTAAAGCCTCCTGTCTGCAGCCTTCAGCTTCCTTCTCACTGGCAAGTGCTGGTTTTCCTGGCATAGCTGTTCTGACCCCTCTGCATGTTCCAGAGGTTCAGCACTGATGTGCGCTTTCACTGTATAGAACTAATTTATGAAATAAACTTGCACTTTCAGAACTGTATCAGAAATTACAATGCCATAAATGTACACTTTGTTTAACAATACGCTACAATTGTTAACTTCAGAATCATTCTTAAAGTTGTTCTTGATGCAGTTTAATCATATTACTTGTAGTCTAATCCATTGTGAGTACAAGTTAATGTTAGGGTGAGATACCAAGGCATTATGGAGTTCCAAATTAAAATGCCCAAAATTAAAAATATAATAGTAATCACCTAAACTGATCATTAAAAGAAATGTGAGCTAACATTACTTACCTGATTAGCAGTAAATGATGTTAGCAGATATACACCATCTTCATATGCATCTGACAAAAAGAATAAAATAAAATGTATTTGTTATTCACCTCAACACATTATCAAAATGTTAGTTCAAAAATTGTGTCTATATGTACTTTACACATCAACATATGGTATGTATATACACACGAATAAATTTCTGTATTTCCAAAAGATACACTTTTAAGCATAAAATACTTTCATTAGAGGACAGCATGCTAATTAAATGAGGACAAAGTAAGAACATTTTAGAGGTCTGATACAAAAGAAAGCAAACAAATAGCATTAGGAAAGTCCAGGGTATTAAGACCAGAAAGAGAAAAAATGTTTCTCGCTGAGGAAGGCATGGAAGTAATTTCCCACATCCAACACTATTCACTGTCCAGTGGCACAGCCATGATTGATAGAAACTGCTGTTGTACATTTTACCAATCCTATTGTTAAGCACTAAATCATAGAATCATAGAATGGTTGGAAAGGACATTAAGATCATCTAGTTCCAACACCCCTGCCATGGGCAGGGACACCTCACATTAGACCATTTTGCCCAAGGCTCTGTCCAACCTGGCCTTGAATACTGCCAGGGATGGAGCATTTTGGGCAACCTGTTCCACTGCTGCACAGCCCTCAAAGAACTTCACCTTTGTATCTAATCTGAACTTCCCCTGTTTAAGTGTAAACCCATTACCCCTTGTCCTGTCACTAAAGTAATGCTGATAATCACGAGCACTGTAGGTTCTTGCCTTTCTGCCTTACCAAAATGAGATCACAGGCATCCTGGTGAGAGGCATCTTGTAATCTATGTTGATTTCATTTATCATTAGATTTCCATGAACCTAGTCATCGTTTCTGAATTACTGTGCAGTGGTGTAAGTGGAGCACCAAAAACTACACTAACAGCATCCTGCAAACTTCCCTACACATCATTATGCAAAATAACACCATTTCCTGCATTGCTTGCAGTAATCTCGGGTGATAGCTTAATGTTATTACAACGGTAATACACTGCGTGGAAAGGATAAATGACTTTTAAATATCTCTTATCTGAAGACGATTTAAGTTCAGTAATGTTGACAAAATTAGTTAAAGCTTCCCACATAATCTACACATACGGTTCTGATTGGTTTGAGAACAAATCCTTGTTATCTGTGTTGCCTTTCATCCCAGGCACAGCTTCCTTCATACAACATATTAATTCTATAAATCATAGCATTATGCAGTTTAAATCAGGAAAAATAACTTGACCATCCATCCTTATAGCAAAAAAAAAAAGACTTTATGAAAGCAAAAAGCATCATACATACCAATGCGAACCCCATCATCCCAATAAAGCTGTCCTTCTGCTCTCAGAGTGTCATTCAAAGCAACAGTGAGTCCCATGGGGTTTTTTCGGCTATAGAAAACATAGTATTTTTCTCTCAGTATCCTCAGGTAACCAACCACATTTCATATTTCTCAAATGTTAGAATGTTTTAAAAAAATATTACACGCCATTCAATTTATCTCCCAAAGTCATCTTCTTAAACTAATCCTATGAAATTTAAAGGAGGCCATCAGGAGGAAAGAAAAGCCGGCCATAAAGCTCCAGTGCCATTATACCTGTATCTTCTCTGAGGACTGATAGTATTTTATCTATTTGTATTTGTGCAAAACTAAATTTTAAATTTCAGTCAATCTTACCTGTAAAAAGTTGTATTAGCAGGCTTTTGCCAAGCAAGGATGTATCCACCCCGGATATGCAGATTGATATGCTCCAAAGGAGATGGTAAAAGACTGAACTGTCCCCTAATGCCAATATCTTCATCCTATGTACAAAAGATTTTAAAAATCCTCTACTGAGTTGCTCCCACTTTACTGGTTTGTTTGGGTTTGTTTTTTTATAATGAAATTGTCATGTTTTGCTAGCCTGATGAAATAGGACTTTCTACTGCAGAAGTAACTACCAAATGCTTATAAGGGAAACTGAAATGCAGGATCTATAAAAGATTGCCTTGAGTATAGGTCACAGTAGCCGAACTAAAGAGGCCAGTCTGGTGAAACACAAACTTGTGATTAGTGAAATGACCTGTGATGCCTGCTCTTCCAATTACCAAATCTTTTCTTATTTTCTGTGAAAGGTGATGCAGCTAAATGTGTTTTGTGTTTCTCCATTCCAGTATTCCTTACAAAGTCATTATGTACATTATTTGAGGCTTAAAAAAGTCAACAGAAGTACCTCAAATTAATTTACTCTAGCTGTAGTCATGTTATTATATATTAGTGTGGGATAATAATTACAGGAATCAAGGTTGCTTTTCTTTTTATTAGCTAAGTAGCTGTTACATTGCTAAGAAGAAATACTGAATGGAAGTTTGTAAAAGGGTGGGCAGGGGTTCACACCTCACCACTACTCTCAGAACACCCTTTCTGCTGTCTAAGCAGCATTGTGAAGAAGACATATAAAATACAGTTTTTAAAATTACTTACTGTGTGGTAATCATACCAGCGGGCATTGGGTAAGTAAGCGTTCACTGTTACAGCATTCTGGAATTAAGAATACTTGGTTTAGGTACCTTAAATGAAAAAAATGAAGTGACAGTGAAAAGTGAAAGCTAAAGTGACATTAGTATTTTCTTAAGTTCTTAAAAATGTACCTGTTGCATCACAGGACTGATGAGCAGTGCAGGTCCCCAAAGGAACTGCTCGTATATTTCCCAGGTTGTTCTGTCTTCTACAAACCTTCAAGTTAACAGAATAATGATTAAACATTGCATGCTGAACTTTTCCAAAGTGTTCCTTTTTAAAAAACTATTGTCAGCATTTGAATGTACTGTTCCTAGTACCTAATATTTCCTCATCTTTATTCTACTATTCATAAATCAGTTAATGCTTGCCAGGAATACACAAAGATCCTAATGTGAAACTCATTAGAGAAATACAAGCTATTAGATTTCTTTTTCCATTTCTTTGCCACAGCTATTCAGTGTATTTAGATCACAAAACTCAGAAGGTCTGTTGTGCCTGGCCAGTTTTAGCAATAGTAAGATTAGGTACTGGACAGACTGGGAACCACTTTCTAACTTGTGCTACTTTTTTCTTAAGCAATTGCTTTGAAAAGAGGAAGTCAACACATGTGAACAGCTCAGTGTTCCTCAGACAAGACGTGTATAGATGAAGAGCACATCTAACTCCACAACAGAAGAAAGGTTTTTGCAGGTACTGACCCACCTGACAAGGAGCAAAGAAAGCTTCTGTGTCTAACAACATTAATAAATAAAAAAAAATCAGGTATATAAGCTTGGACATAACAAAAAAGCCAGTTTTTTTTTTCCCCTGCAAAACTCTCATGATTTATGGCAGAATTGTATCTTTTCCCAAAAGTTTTTATCCAGCAATTTTTTGCTTTTTTATATTTTTTTATTTTTTTATTCTACATACACTTGGCATTCTGTTCCTTGCCCCAGAAGAGGTTAAAGGTGAGATCTAAAATTTGAATTTTACTCCCAGAAAATAAGATATTCAGTTTTGAAAAATGAAGAACTAGTGCTAATTGAGTCAGGCTTGCTATTGAAAGCTCATACTCAACCTTGTGGTTGTTTTGTTGTTTGTTTTTTTTTTTTGAATAATAATTGCTGTAACTATGAGGATCATAACTACAAAATTTTCAGTGGAAATTCCTGATAAGAAGAGTATAGGAGTCCCACTTACTCATGGAGCATGGGGCGGATCACAGTGCTGCCATGGGCATGGGCTTCATACATTAAAGTGTAGAAATAAGGTAGCAAGGTGTATCTTATATTCAACACATTCCTGGAAATCTCCTCAAATGTTGCATTCCAGGAAGCAGGATCTTGCCTCTGAAAGAGACTTTCGTTAGTCCAGCTGGGTTTTGCTCAGAAAAGCTACAAAAACCCCAGACCACCCAAAATCAACAAAGCAAGAGAAAGACAAGGAAATTTCTCAGCCAAATTAGAGCACCTTCATTTATTTATGCTTCAATTAAGAAGTAAGTGACACTAAAACCAGCAGGTACCACTGTCAGCCCTAAGAGGGGAACTGAAAAGGGAAAAGGTGAGAAAAACCTGCGGGGAGTACTATAAAAACTGCTTAATGCAAAGTGTCCCAAAGGCATGACACATCCTAGTGTACATAATTTATTATCCCTCTTTTCTGCAGGGCAGCACTCAGGACTTGCAAGCAGAGAGTGAAGCACTAACAACTGATGTCAGGGAGCACTTCCAATCTCTATTAAATGTATTGAAGAATACCTTGGCAAATTGGGCAAGACTGGAAGCAACATGATAACCCTGAATCTGCATTTTTTTAAAGGCATTAAAAGACCTATCGAAAGGTATGCCGCTGCAAGATAAAGCACACAGTTTCTGAAAAGGAGACTTTAATCCATCAGATATATGCTATATAAATAGCTCTACTCTGCTAGACCTGGAGCTTTAACTGGAACGAAGTGCTGTTCCCATTTTTTTTTATTTTTCCAGTTATCTTGTTTTACAGCTTTCTAGAATATAGTCCTTAGCCAGCACAGACCGACATTTAGGCAATTACTTTCCTCTTAAAAGAAATACAATATCTGATGGTGGCATATGTGCAGAGTACAGAAATTGCCGAGTCTTACTCCAAAATCTGATTACACTGTTCCGTTTTCTCATTTGATGTATAATTATGGTCAATTAGGGCTGAGAGCACTAAGGTCAGCTTTGCTCCTTTAAGTGCATTTGCCACCAAAGCGCTCTATTTTAGTCTTGCCAGCGTAGCGTGTTTAAATAAAAATGATGCACAGGGAAAAATACGTAGGAGTGGGAGTCAGTCAAAGCAAACTTAGAATATGCTTCCTGCAAGCGGTCCAAATCCCAGAGCAGCATAAAGCCTCCCAGGTGAGGGGGAGCCTTATAGGCAAGCTAGCATATAAAAAAAGACAATTTTTATTTGATAAAGAGCCAAACATCTTTTTGTGTCCATTTTGCTTGGAATGTAATTTTTTGAGCCAGGTGAGCTTGTACGATGTTCTGGCTGGTCTCTATATTGTGTTGCAAAGGCCCAGCAGTTAACAACTGTTAAAAACTTGTGACTCACCCTTGTTCCTTTCTGGTTGTGATTCCTTGAATATGGGTAAAATGCACCTAGTTCCATCCAGCGAATACACAGCTCATACTCTGAGTCTTTGAAGAAGCCACAGATATCAGCTCCTGTCTGAAAGTTTCAAAATGACCCAATTGGGATAAAATAAAATTATGTACAGCATCAAGATAATAAGGTAATAAATCATTAGCTTACATAAGATATTCCAAAGAGACTGAAATCCATCATACCTGAAAGGAAAAATAATTCAATATTACTGGCTGTTGTTTTGCGGGTTTTTTTTCCCCCTTTGGTATGCTAATGCTTACATAGATAATACTTATTGTAATGGTGAATGAAAATAAAAAACCCCAAGTCTGCCATGTTTTTCTGCTACAGAGTGATGGGAGCTGATTGGTCAGGAGCAAAGAAAGAAATGAGGGCAGGTCACAGGGCACAAAGTTGGTTGATCCCAAGGGAATAAAAGAGTTCCTAGCACCTGGTGCAGAACTAAAGAAGTTAAAAAAGGTATTGACCACTTATTATGGTTCCTCAGTTAAATTGCTTACATGAGATAAAACCACATGAATACCAGAAGCAAGCAGCTGAAGCAGAAGAAGTAACTGCATACAGTAAATTGAATACAGATACATTTCTTTCTCATACCAATAATAGATGCAGTTAGCTGATCCCAAGCTGCAGTGTTATCACCTAACCAGTGTCCTGCCCATCTTCCACTGCTGGGATACGTGGAACGGGTGACAACGATCCCACGCTCCTTGGTGGCATCCTGCAAACCTCTGACATTGAAAATAGAGCAAAAAACAAATTACATGAGAAATATTACATGGGAATTTATTATACCAGGTTCTCTGAAATTAAAGGGCTTATATTTTCATAGCAAAGGAGGGCATTGCTGTATGCATGAATATGCATACATCCAATGCAGATGTGCTTTTTATGGCAATTTACTGTGATTCACGTATCGATAGTAGCTCAGCAGTGTCAGCCAACCTGTAACTGGAAAAAGAACAGGCAGGCAAGGACATGTTAAAATCATAAAACTATTGAATGTTTTGGGTTAGAAGGGAAAAGATCATCTAGTTTCAACCCCTTGCCATGGGCAAGAACACCCTCCACCAGACCAGGTTGATCAAAGCCCTGTCAAAAATGGCTTTGAATGCTTCCAGGGGTGAAGCAACCACAACTTGTGGATGTAGCCCAACTTGCACTTTCTCTAAGGTCTCCATCTAAGGTCTCCATGGTGTGTTCCAGGGCACCTCATTCCTTTCTTAGCATACCTGAAAACTTGCAGCAGCAGTTAAAAATAATTCAACAAAAATCATATAAAAAATATCAGAAGGGGCAAAATAGAGGTGCCAGAGCTATTGGACCTGCCAGTGTAACTCCTGTTGCCAAAAAAAAATATTAGAACAAGTAATGGATCTGTAATAACTTCAGAAATACCAAGATGACATGATATCAATATGGAATGACCAACATGGATTTGTCTGGAAGCAACATACTAAACCAGCTGTTTTCTTCTTGTGGCAAGTAACAGGTATTAGAGTGAAGGAGTGACACCAATGTGTGTGACTACCTTAGCATTAGCTAACCTCTTGGTGTGATCACATTTGTCTTCCTCATAAGCAGAAGGGATGTCAACCAGAGGTTAATTAACTTTTGAGGATGGTGGGACTTATTTTTATTTCCCAAATTAGAGCCAAATCCCTACAGGGTGGGAAACATGTAAGCACTATGGTTTGGGGTATAAAAAATAGCTAGCACCAGGAAAGTGTTGTCATGCATTTCTGATGTTCTGGCGCTAAACTGCTATGGCCTTCCTAAGGATCATTGCTACAGGGAGAGGAGACTGTGACAGGCTGATGACTCAGAAGAGCCCTTGAGGTCTGGGAGGTGTGGGTGTGAATGAGCTGGATGGAGAACAAATTAACTAAGTAACCTCATTCCTCAAATACATAAAAACTTTATTTAAGGAAATTAAATATTTTATTTAATTTCCTTAAATAAAACCTTGGTCATTGCCTCAAAGTACCTGCAAACAAGTAAGCTTAAAGCAGGAAAAAAGAAAATTAAAATTGTTGAGTTCAGGGGAATTTATGATTCCTGGTTTCTCAGCTGAGGATATGAACACCTTTCTCTATAGTGTATGCTGCTGGTCTATGCTGTGTGCCCAGCATGGATGCATTACTGCTCCACTTTCTTAGAACAGCTCCTTTGCAGCCATTCACACCCTGTGAATCATTACAGCAAAGTACTAAACCACAGTACTAATCAGAAACTTCACTGATTAAATCACACTGCTTTCCAATGCTAACTCCACAATAATTGTCTAAACAGCTGCTTCAATAATGCACTATTTATTTATTTTTCTACTGGATTTGCAGCTTTAGTGACACTATAATTACAGAAAAAATACACAAGTCACTTTAATTACCATAGTAATTGAACTAGACTAATGTGCTGTAATTATTTCTTCCAAGACAAACTGTAAGTTTCCTAGTATCTTTTTATTTCTTTGTAACATGCTATCCAACATTTTCAGCCTCTGCTTAGTCTACCCTACTTCAACAATGCTTTGGAAATTGCAGATAAAATTTCAAACGTAAAGGAAGTGTATATGATACACAGAACTGCTCAAGAATGAGTATGGCCTGAGTGTTTTGCTGACTCAAGGTGCCAACTCTGTGATCCAGGGGTGAGCCAAAGCTGTATACATGAAAAGCAATTACATATCTTCTGTTGCACAAGTACTCCTTCAGTTACTACCAAAGAATAAAGTGGAAACTGATATATATTATTTTTTTTGCAGATAACATTTTCTTTAAATTTCAAGTGTGATAATATCTGTAAAAGGTGTGTAAGTTATAATAGTTTCTCTTATGGTACCTTTCAAAACAGAAGGACATATTTCACTACATTTGTGTTCATACTTAATACAGAGAAATGCTGGTAATATTCCTGTTACTGTCAAATTATTGTTTACTTACAATGCCCAAATTGCATGTGATTTGGCTGACAGCAGAAGTATCAGATATTCCTTCTTGTCCTGTCAGCAGTTTCACTTCTGCCTTGACTGGCAGCATTGCAATCTCGTGCTGCCAAGTATAACATCCACTCAGACAAAAATTCAAGCAGCCTTAATATTTTATTTCTTTTTGGTGATATTAAAGGTAGCAAGGTCTATAAAGTTGCTAAGCCCTCTACAGAAACACTGTTCCTTGCTTACTCATTGAATTGGAGATGAAACAGCAGATATATTATCATTAGATCAAATGTTATCTGTAGCAGGCTGGGGTACTATTCAGAAAGGAACAGATAATGAGATTTGACTTGGAACTGAGAAAATAAATTCTTAAAAGTCAAGCTTTATGCACACAGTTTCCAATTTAAAAGACACTGTTTTCCCCTTTCACTACGACTCAATTTGTTTTAAATAGAGGCCATAATCAAGCCATTCTTAAAAAGTTATATTCATTTTTCCTCACTGGATGTACAGTGTAAGGTGAAAACAGTGGCAGTGCTAGAAGTAAACCAGGTCATGCCAGCCAAACCTAAAAACAGGAAGCATTTTATATTTTAATTATGATAATGGTGTGAGACTATCCTGGAGTAATTACTGTTCCCAAGACCTGATCAAGATGTTCAGACCTGTTCTCCATTCTGCCTTGTGAATGAATACCAGAGCAGAGCCTTTGGATTGATTGCTTCCATTTACAATGCAGAGCATTGCCCTGGCTTAGCGTTGGTGGCTGCCTCATAATAGAAACCTCTGATGAAAAGAAGACACATTGTGTTTGAATGTGTTGAGATATGGAAACACTCGATAGTGAGTAATTAGGTACAAATTAAACTATATGAGAAACAGCACTGTAACCATCTTATTTCATAATCCAGGTCAGTAATTAAGCTTGTACAACATAATGTTTATAAGGATGAAGACCTTGAAACAGGTATACCAAAACCTGCTCCCCAACTGGGCGAGCAGTAAATTTCTTTAGTACCAGACTTGGGTAAACTCTCTTTAAAATGTACCTTGAAAACTGCATCTGCTCAGGGTCAGTGATTTTAAAGCTTCTAGACTCAAAACAAAGACTTTGCCTGCTTGTCCTGAGATAGTCAGTGATGCAGCTGCAGGTGTAGACATGCTTGAGCAGGTGTGGGTTTTTTCTTCTAGCTGGCTCCAGTTGCAGAAAGTATTTATTGTAGTGAAATAACAGAAGCACAGCTTCAGCTTTGAACTGTGCAGACATACTTGCTCTTCTGCACATCCCTTCCAGCAGCTCAGGTTCGTATTACCCTGCCTGCACCATGGGCAAAATCACTGTGCTAACCGGGCAGTAGGGGGCTGAAATAGTCCCAGCTGACAGAGATATAGAACTGCTGCTTAAACTTTGGAACATCAAAGTCCACTTCTAGCTAAACTGAAGAATCAAAGATAATGGAGTGAAAAGAAAGATTTCTCAGGCATGTTAAATAAGCTGATGAAAGTTTGCCTCGAAGAATATAGACACAGAATATTCATGTGTAACCCATTTTGGAGACAACAAGAAAGTATGCAAACTTCACTTACTCTAGGGTAGGTTTTGTTTGTGACCATCCATAAAGAGAGTGGACATCGTAGTGTCTAGCTGGGGTACCATCTGGAAGATACTGTTGACCTTCCATGCATGGAGTTTTGGCACTTAACCCATCTGACCGATATCCCAAATCTAGTGGAAGGAGAACAAAACCAATTAATAATGAACATTCAAATGTTTATGAATGATTAGAGTTACTTTTCCTTTTTTCATCATTTCATAGCCATTCAGTCTCTTTTAGGCATGTACACTGTCATTTATTTATTTATAATTATAAAAATAACATTTCCAAAATAGAATATTTCTAACATTCCTATTTAGGCATCTGATTCTCTAAGTGTTAATAGCTCAGTTACAGATGTTCTTACTAAAGAGGCTCAAAGAGTACAAAGTATATTCAAATTCAGAAGACATTGCATATCTTTGTAAGCATCATCAGATCATCCATATATACAGAGAAAATGGGTGTGGCAGGGAGTATGGTCTGTGTCTGAATATTAACTTCCTTACAATTTCTTAGAAACTATTCATAATAACTGAAAACAAGAGTAAGCAACATGAGTATGTTAATAAACCATTAATAAAGAAATTACTGATTGGTACTGTACACAAGTACTTATGTAAAGCCAAGATAAGAATGCTAAGTATTTCAAGTATTTGTATAGATAACGGTAATTATCTGTTCTAGCTGTATTATATATATTATCTATTCTAGCTGAATGGTAATGAGAAGAGACACAAGAATATTTTCTAAATTTTTAATTAATTGCATTATTAATCTGAGCAAACTGCAAAACAGAGAACTGTTCTTCACCATGCCTGGAGCAAAGCACCTAGATCTAAAATAGGTATCAGAATCCATATGAAGGCAACTAAGAATGGCTTTATTTTTAAAAATGTCATGCAGTTACAGCTCCCACTGAAATAGATGGGGTTAAAATATACCCGTACTCTCAGAATTTAAGGACCACTTTCAGTTAGGGGTTGTGGTCTTATATACCTAACTTTACGTATTTATGCCACATACACCATATCAGAAATTACATAATAACTGTAATGACCTAAAACTTTTAAGGAGTAATCAGACTTACGAGGCACATATGGTGGCATATTTAAGAGTTCATTTCTACAGCCCCCAATGGCACCATTCAGAAAAGCTGCTGGTTCATTCATGTCCTAAAAACAGAGAGCAAAACTTGATTGTATTTGCTTCAAACCTGCAAAACACACTAAATTCTGTATTACAAACAAACAGTGTTGTAGAAGAATCACTTGCAGCTGTAGTTTCAGTCTGCCGTTCCATGTTTTCTTGACAAAATCACAGAATCTTAGAATCATAGAATAATTAGAGTTGGAAAAGACCTTAAGATCATCTAGATCCAACCCCTCTGCCATGGGCAGAGATGCCTTACACTGGACCAGTTTGCCTGAGGCTCTGTCTAGCCTGGCCTTGAACACTGCCAGGGATGGAGCATGTACCATTTCTTTGGGCAACCTGTTCCAGTGCCTCACCATCCTCACAGTAAAGAACTTCTTCCTCATATCTAACCTGATCTTCCCCTGTTTAAGTTTAAACCCATTACCACTTGTCCTATCACTACAGTCCCTGGCATGGTGCAGGGACAAGGAGCCACAAAGTGTTTCAAGGGAAGAACTGTGAGTCTGGCCTGTTTCCCCTGTGCAATGAGTGTCGCAGTGGAGGAAGAAAGTCGCAACATACCAAGGCAGTGCAAGAGTACAACCTAGAGCCAAAGTGGTGCCTTTGGTTGAGGGATCAGGTTCTGCCTGGTGCTCTGATTGCTTTCACTCCAGCTTATTATTTTTTTATTTTACCTAATGGCAATTCAACACCAGATACCCTCTGAGCTTCATCGGTAGTACATATACTGTGCAATTTCTCTGCTAGTGTCTGGCAGAGAAAAAAAGAATAACCCAGAAATTGAATTCATTTCTACACTTACAATCCACAAGCCATCAAACTTGATGCTTCTTGAGGGGTTGGTGGGATTGTTGTAGAACTCCAGGATTTCTCTCTTCCACCACTCTGCTGTGGAATTGCGCAAGAAGTCTGGGAAAGCAGCATGTGCTCCATAGAGCTGTAAAAATAGTAGAAAAACAAAACAGATACATGTTTGAAAGCGTCCTGTTACAATGTTGGAATTTGTTTAAAAAAACAAGTTACTTATTCACTAAGTTTTTTGGCTCTGTTAGGAAGTGTAGTGAATTTCAGCGCCTTATTTTTCTCACCAGATTCATCAACTAGCTTGCTGCTATTTTCCTTAATTCATGTGCTGCTCTGTCTATATTTGAATCGGTAAGAAAGCCATAGCAATATTTACCTGTATTTGGGTTTCCTCAGGCAGCGACTCATTGACTTCCACATCAGGAAGAAATGGCCAGACCTAATGTGACAAAGGACATTATTATAAAATAATCAAACCACACTGAATGAGCATCAGCAACAGACAGATATAACCATTCTTCCCTGATATCTATGTGAACGACAACACAAACTGAAGGCAATTCAATTTGTAGTATTTATTACATGTGTCATTTACATCCAGGCATGATTATGCTACTAACAGACTTTCCCACTGAGGATAGCACTGAAGCCTAGGCTGACATGCTGTTTACTTGGATACAGCATGCCTCTACCATCACCATTTTTTAAGAACAGTACCTTGGAGTATATAATGTCATTGGTATTGGGCCATTTTATGAAGACATCATCCTGTACACCTCTTGAGAAGGTAGGATAATTGGTTTCATTTCCAGAGATGGTTGGATCCTGTAATTAAAGACACTTTTACCTGCATGCTCAGAAAACAATTTTAGAAATGCTGTTGAATATATCCTGCATTCTGCAATGATATATTGGAAGTTAGAAGTAGTACTCAAAACTGACCAGGATAATGATAAATCTCATTCCTTCTTCTTTTATTTTGTTAACCAGAGCTGGTAATCCAGCAAAGCGTGTGCCAATGGTGAAGTCCAGTTGCCTTTCCATATAGTCAATATCTGCATATTGGACATCCTGCAGTTAAAAAATAAATAAATAAATAAAATATTTTTTCTATTTTGCCGGCTAGAAATTCATTGAAAATCTGTGAAAAATTTTGACCTGTAAAATTGGTAGCAGCTGTAACTTTAAGCTAAAGCTATTAAATGAATTTTGCACACCCTATCAGCAAGTCCAGTACAAAATAAACCCTTTGCTACTGCATCTAGTCTAAGGGTAGAAATTAACACATGACAGAGAAAAACATCCTAGATTTGTACATACAGGTATGTACACAAACTGTACATATGCTACCATATCTGTAAGGAAATGGTTGAAACAGCTGCTCTGTATTGAAAGTGTGATGTTTAGTACATTTAAAATGAAGAGTCATATTCAATTTACAGTATAATTTTGTTAGGTATAGGTGCTATTCCAACTTTCCCAGCAACAATCTGTGCCAAATCATAGCTGATAAGACACAGAGCAATATACCATAGAATCATAGAACCATAATACTGAAATGATGCTGATTCATTTCTTTTCTTGCTTGTTTCACTTGTTGACCATTGCTGTTTCATAAGCAGCAGGGCTAGAGCCCATTACTGACTAAGGCATCTGGGTGCTGCTTTGGTACAAATGATAAAGAAATTACAGCAGCCTATGGCCTACATTTAACATGGTTTAGAGTTTACAGAGATGTATGAGGGCAATAATTTTAAACTAAAAAAGGGGTATTTAGGCTTGATGTGAGGGAAAAATTCTTTACAATGAGGGTGGTAAAACACGGGCACAGGTTGCCCAGTGAGGTGGTAGATGTGCCATCCCTGGAGACATTCAAGGCCACACTGCATGTGGTTCTGGAAAACCTGATCTAGATGAAGATGTCCCTGACCGTTGCTATGGGTTTGACTGGATGACCATTGAAGGTCCCTTCCAACCCAAACTATTCTGTGATTCTGTGTTCAGCTCTGGCATAAAAATAGTCTGCTCTACTCTACCATGGGGGGGGGGGGGGGCTTTGATTTTGTGCTTTTAAATGGTCTTTATTAATACTAAGAAGACAAAAGTTCTGGCATGAGTTCATACGTTAACTGCTACCGCTTACATGGGGAATCCTAGCTGCCTTCATTTCCTCCACCACCTGGGCAATTTCTGAGTCATTCACGTATCCATAGCGGCACAACTGGAATCCCAAAGACCAGTAGGGTGGCATGACTGGTCGTCCAATCAGCTAAAAATAAGAAAGAATATTTGTGGTGAATGCATGAGATGAGTAGAACAAACCAAACCAACCAATTAAACAAACACTAGTTTGTAACAGAGTAAAAATCCTACTGCAGTGTACTCCTGTACAACAAGTTCCGGAGTTGGGCCCAAAACCATGTAGAAGTCAAGGATTCCTCCTATGGTACGGTATGTCAGGGCAGGTGTTGGCTGTAATGTCACATCTGGAAATGGAGAAATTGAAAGGAAAAAACGGTGCTTGGACTTGCCACTGTTGCAAAACAGTGATCATAAAAATAAAACACACTGAGAAAATAAATCTAAGTTTTTCTTACCCATTGCATTGCTGTTAAGAAATAGAACTCCATGGGCATTGCTGTCTTCTTCAAGAGCCATGTAAAATGGATGATGACCATAAGAATTCAACTCGTACTGCAAACAACATAAAATACATATTGACAGGGAAATATCACAAGCATTCACTAACTTATTAAATAAATTTAATAAAAGATGAGACATGACTGCCAAACATACAAGTAAACTCCAGAATTATATACTTAAACCCTACACACCTACAAAGCATACCTACAGAACATCACTTTCAACTTCACAATTTGTGTCAGTTGTCTTCAGATTGACCAGGCAGAAAGCAAAGCAAAGATATTACTGCCTTTAACACTTGCTAATGAGAAAGTCCTTCCCCAGGAGCAGATGCTGGTGGCATTCTGTTCACTTTCATTTACTCAAAAATATATTCAAATCTGAACTGGAAATTCAGCTGTTTCATTGGTCATTCCCTCAAAACTGCAAACATTATGCCCTCATAGGAAATAACACAGGTATACACATAGACACAAGATTTCTGATTTACCTGTGTAAACACTAAATTAATCCCAAAGTAGTAGGAGTTCTCCTGACTCATTTCTACCTTTCAGAATAATTAGCCGAGAAGAATAAAAAAGGAAGAATGTGCTATTATTTCTAAGCCATTTGCTGTCTTCTGACATCTGACTCCACACACAGGTCACAAAGAATATGATTAGAGAAGACCATTGCAATTGAGAAACCATCCAAATTATAAGCCATGATAAATATAATCAAAGCAAATATGTGTGTCCAGTACCAGCAGGCATCCACTAGACTTTAAAATACTGCTGGATACTTCCACACATTAGGATCGTTGGTCCAAAAGCCACATTTGCTTCCACTTACAGTAGGAGGCTGATCCCTTGTGAACATTCCCCAGGAGTGCCAGCTTGTGTTACGTCGAAACGCTGTGTGCTCATTTTCTCCAAGTCCATATATATATTGGGATGGTAAACGAGTAGAAATCTGAATGAACATGTCACTGAATGTGAAGGTGGGCAGCTGTGAATCCCAGCTAATATGGAAAGAAGAAAATAAAAGCAAGAATACAGTGTTTTCAGGGCTATGTTTAGCTGACACTTCTTTTGGGTTACTTTTTTGAGGCTACTTTTTTTCTCTGAAAAATCTCTTTCTTCCGTAAAGGTGGAATAAATCTGTTATGGCTATGGAGAAAACTTCAAGCATATGAAATGGGGATGTCTAAGAATTTGATGCACAGTTTAGAAACACAAAGTCCTCCATGTCTCTCACAGACATAAATATTATACACAGGCATCATGCACACCAAGTTGCATCAAGGAACTCAGCTTGCAATGAAGTTTTGGGTACTTTTAAAAAAATTACATAAGATTTTTATTTTTTTTTTTTTATAAAAACCATAAAGCGTACAACTGCTAACATCATTGTTCTGTTTTTTAGCTCCAAATTCATCTTAATCAAGGAAAACAATGAAGCTCCTATCAGACTTATTGGCTGTCGTATTACCAAAATCCATCTGCAAGTTAGTTAAGACACTACTATTTTTATTTTCTTTTTTGTAACCATTCCTCAAAACCAAACGATCAGTCCTTAATGATCAGTGGTGTGGTCACCTGAGGAAATATTTAGGAAGTGTAGAAAATTGTTGTGCCTCTCGGACAAATGGGAACTGCAGAAGAAATGGACTTTGGAGTTGTCTGTATTCCATACTTCATCATGTTGTAAAGGATTTTTAGCAAGTGTCAGACTAAGAAGTGACCAGGGAGAAACCTCAGATAATTATGAGAAAAAAACAGGATATTGCTTAGGGCACTTTCTCCAAACTCTCCCTAGTTCTGGGTCAGAGTAATCCCAGGCACAGCTGCAGGTTGGGCAAAGAAGAGATTCAGAGCAGCCCTGCAGAGAAGGACTTGGGGGTGTTGGTCAATGAGAAAATGAACATGAGCCGGCTTCAGTGTGTGCTTGCAGCCCAGAAAGCCGACCGTATCCTGGGCTGCATCAAAAGGAGTGTTGACCAGCAAGTCGAAGGAGGTGATCCTGCCCCTCTACTCTGCTCTTGTGAGACCTCACCTGGAGTAATGTGTGCAGTTCTGGTGTCCTCAACATAAAAAGGACATGGAACTGTTGGAACAAGTCCAGGGGAGGGCCACAAGGATGATCAGAGGACTGGAGCACCTCCCATATGAAGATAGGTTGAGAAAGCTGGGGCTGTTCAGCCTGGAAAAGAGAAGGCTGCTTGGAGACCTCAAAGCAGCCTTCCAGTATCTGAAGGGGGGCTATAGGGATGCTGGGGATGGACTCTTCATAAGGGACTGTAGTGATAGGACAAGGGGCAACGGGTTAAAATTTAAACAGGGGACATTTAGATTGGATATAAGGAAGAAATTCTTTACTATTAGGGTAGTGAGGCACTGGAATGGGTTGCCCAGGGAGGTTGTGAATGCTCCATCCATCGCAAGTGTTCAAAGCCAGGTTGGACAGAGCCTTGGGTGACATGGTTTAATGTGAGGTGTCCCTGCTCACGGCAGGGGAGTTGGAACTAGATGATCTTAAGGTCCTTTCCAACTCTTTCTATGATTCTATTCTATGATTCTAGTCAGTGTTCTCATACAATGCAATGGTGAAACAACCTTCACTGGAGCAGCATCTGGCATTAGGCAGACAGAACCATTTCATGGGAAGAGTACAAGAGCGAGTCTTAAGGTGTTTAGAACACAGTACACACGGAAATAGTTTGGCTTGGAAAGAGCTAACTAAACCAGCTGAAATAAAATAAAATTACTGTGGCTTACATGATTCTTCCCGTGCTTCTGCGGCGAACTTGTATACCAAATGGTTTTTTTTGAACTGATACTTCATAGAGTCGTTCCTCATCTGTGCTTGTTGGGGAGCTTGGGAGATTTAGTGGTACTGGAACCTCATATCGTGCATTTTGATAATCATAGATCTATAAAGTAAAAGTCAATTCATTTCAGTGAATGAGTTGTTTGAAATCTTATCTATAGTAATAGAAATCTGATCTGATAGAAAATTGTTGAAAACCCTGAGATGAGTGTTTTCTTTCAGTATGTATTCTTTAACCAGTTCATTCACAGTAGTTTGTTTGGGGAAAAAGAAATGAACCTAAAGGACCTATTTTGGATCAGGAATGGATTGTCCATTTTTTATGTTAACTTAAAATATGCACCTGTATTTTAAATATATATATGTATGTAGAGTGAATATCTTTCTGATTCATCTTTCAGACAACTTTGAGAGATACTTTTTAAAGTTTCCTGTATTCTGAAAGCTGACGGGAGTTTTTTTATGCCTGACTGCTTTAAGGCTTCACAATTATTTCAGTGTTATTACACTCACAGTAATAAATTATATTCTGAAAAATAGTGCATTAAAAATTTTAGAATAGAAGTAAAATGATTAACTTGAAAATCAACTGTGAAAATGATAATGTTTATAGATAAATTTACCTGTATATTAATAAAAGGCCTTCAGTTCCGGAGTTTGTGGTTGACATTTTAGATATACATTGACATTATACTTTTGATTCATATAATTTCATTGGAAAACTGAGTACAAAATTCTAGGACAAAAAATATGCAAGCTAAGAGCAGTAACAGTGGATTAGAAGGAGAAACATACCTAGGCAAGGGTGCTACATTCTGTGTAATATAAAACTGACTAGAAAAAGCCCTTATAATTTCTATAAATAAGGCTGTTTTTAACAACGGGACATTGCATACCCTTAGAAATTCTGGAATGACATTACCTTAAATTGCAGCATGTGGTTAAGATGATATTTCACCTCCAAGCGTAGTGTACTAATTGGGGTAGTGTAATCCTCATTAGCTTTGGTGTTGGCACTGTTTAAGATGAGGTTGGCTGCCAAACCTGATGAGGTGTATTCTACTTGGTCTACAGAATAAGCATTGTCAGAGCTGTAATAGCAGGATGGAATACCCGGGCCTGATGTTTCCTGATGCAAATGGAAATAAGTTACAGGTTAGTGAGCTACACTGACCTGCTGTATTTTTGTATTAGCTATTAGCATGGAATCCAAAGTTTCCATTTTTATCACATATCTATCAAATGTAGAATTTGTGGAAAAAGCTTACTCAACTAGTGAACAGAACCCATTTATCTCTACTCTAAATCAGATATAAACAAACAATCCAGTGAAGGCTGCACAAATAGTTGAGTCAGGAAACTGAATGCTTGCACTATGAAGGTGAATTTAACTTCCGTGTATCTGTGACCTTCAGCTCAATCCCACAACATAGCTTAGTTGTGGCCTCTTAGAATTCCTAAAGCTTCCTCCCTTTTAATCGCACTGCTCTCTGATCACTGTCTGCCATCAAGGGAGTGTGCCCAAAACCCATTGGATATTCAGATGAAACCTTTCCATTGGGTTTATTCACACAAATTCCCCTTAAAATATCCACTGAGAATTGCATCCTATTTAGCAAAGATCTCCTGACAGCAAGATCAAAATTACTTTCAGTTTCCTGCTACAGTTGAACATAAACACCCAAACTAGGTGTTCTGAGGTCAGATGGGGTGGTGAATGTTAATGCATTAGCTTTCCACTTCTGGATATTTGCCATCAATCCTGCCTAGTTGTTCACATGAAACTATGTCTGCTTTGTGCATTTTGTTAATGAATATTTATTCATCTGCTTTCATCAAAATGAAAGCACCTTTCAACCTGAGCAAGCATTCAAAACATACTCAGTTCATAACAGGACCAGAGTTTGATTTCACAAAACCAGTCATTTCCAAATGTCCAAAATTTAAAAAAATATTCCTAATAGTGCAACAAAACCAGGAGAGTCCAACAGCCACTTCAGCTGTTGCTGGTTCAAGAGTAGTTAGCAGAAAATTTTGTTCTTCATGGTTAGGATATATGTTCAGGCTGTAAAATTTAGATTTAGAGGATCATGGAGTAATTTAGTTGGAGGGACCCTTTAAAGTTTAACCCTACCAGGGCACACAGCTCCCACATAATAATGGGATAATTAATATCCCATGGGATATTAATGAATGAAGCTCTGTGTTAAAGAACTGCATGTCAGAGATTATGATTTCAAAATAGCCCCTCAACACGGGAATACACAATTAAGTTCACATAAGAGTCAAAATTTTTATTGATTTAAGGATTTTCTCCCAAACTGAGATCCAGAGTAATCAGTTTGACTTAAAGTATGTTTGAATGACTATGAAGATGCAACAAAGGCGATAGAACTTGCAGGCCACAGTGCCAGTGAAACAGAAGAGGTAGCTGAGGATACTATTCTATTTTTTCACAACTCTAATATAACTTTTTTCTGTCTTTCAAAAAATGCCACATTTTAGCTTGGTTTCTGAAAGACTTCAGAAGAACTTATATGATTGGCAACTACCTTAGTTTTAGTGAAGTAAATAACATCTGCTAGGACAGCTGATGTCCGCGCCCCCATTTTATTTAAATCTGACAAATCTGACGGACTATTTTTGTTTTCCACTGTAACAACTATAAAGAGAAAGCTATCATCCTGGAAACATTTCTGTCTCATGAATTTCAAGAAATTATTTTTGCTTACGTCCCAAACACAGCCAAGTTGTTCACATCTTTCTTGTGTTGGATTGGGACTGGGATAACAGTCAAATCTTTCATTGACACTCAGTTGTTGACTCCATTGTACTGTGTAAGATTTTCCTAGTTCAAGCTGAAGTCCTGTTATATGAGCAACCTGTAAATATTAAACAATAAACAGTTAACAAATCCCACATCATATCCATTTGCCCTTCAGTCAGCAGAGAGCACATTTTCTTAATGTCAATTCACAAAAAAGCTTGTCATGTAATATTTGATGTAGTCTCACTTATACAAACACACACAACTGATTTGCTTGCAGATAAAATCTAAAAAATTAAGAATAATAAAAAAAAAAGAGCCAATCCCACAGCTTCCCTGGAATAAAGCAGGAATAAATGTAAGGGCACAGATCCTTCATTTTTAGAAATATGAATGCAAGAGGTAAGAAAAAATAGTTTTATTTTCATTCAGCACCTGTGATAATAGGTAATTTAGGTGTTTGCAATAATTGAGAAGGGTGTACAATGCAAATTCAAAGCAATGCTGGAGCTATCCTTAGCGTGGGAAAGCACTTGCATGAAAGCTTTCCACTAGCACCAGAGCACTTGCTTTGCACATGAATACAGGGTTGCTCTTTTCCGGATTCACTTTGTGAAAAATTCTGCATGAAGTGATAAAGGAGGTTTAAACAGTGTGATGTTGTTTTAAAAATCAATGCATAAACATTCATTTAAAACATACATAAGTATTTGTAACCATCCTCCAATATAACACAAAATCATAGAAGGTATTCCTTCTCTTAGATGTTAAATGTTGCTGTATGAATAACTGCATAACAAAACTTTCTGTTGCACAGAAGGTCTGAGAGAAAAATGTAGAAGCACTTTCTATGCAGCTGAGTTGAATGCAATTATACTTTTTTTCTGTAACAAAATAGATGTCATATTTCATTGAAATGACGCGACTGAGCGCTGTCCTTTGTAATATATAAAGTGATGCAATTTCATAGATGTTTGCTTTCTCTTTTCCCATTCTTGTGTTACCTTTTCTGAAGGATAATAGGTGATATTATGTGGAAAATTTTCCCCAACATTGTTCTGAGATACAGTAACTGCTGTTATTTCCTGAAGGGATCCCAATATCTTGATTTCTTCAAACATCAAGTTGTTTGGATCAGCATAATTGCTGTTTATAGCAGTCATAGTTAGAACGTTCTAAAAAAAAAAAAATAGTGAGCACATTTTTATTAAAAAAAAACCCTGTCAAAATACTCCTGATTTAACAATTTTTTTCAAAATCTTATGTTGTAGCACTAAGTAAGCCAGTAGTTTTTTCCCTAACATATTATTACCCTGCTTATTGTCACAATAATGCTTCTCAACATGCATATAAAAAGTTTCATAGTTGTGTTTCAGATTCCTTTTTTTGCTTGTTTCAGAAATAAGAAAAGGCTGACAGGTGTCTGTTACAGGCAGTTAACCTCTACTCTACTGTGATCTTGTGGGGTTCTAACAAGTGAAGGTTCATATTCAATTTTCCTGACATAAAAATACCAGTTCCAAGTCAATTCCATTCTTTATTATATTAAAAGTCCAAACAATGGATCTGTACAGTGGCTGGCACATGTGCCAGAGTGTAACTTCCTTATTACTCTAAATGTGAAAGTTTATGTTACTTTTTAATTCAATATCATTACAGCCAACTAATGATTTTGTTATAAGAGTCTCAAACTCCAACAGTGACTGAGGTTCCCTATCTACTAATGATTATATGATTAAAAAAAAACACTGATGCATGTGCTTCACTCCCATGTTCTCATGCATTCTTTCTCAGTTGCCACCCTGGTGTTTCACAATGGCAAAGGAAAGAATAACTTTAGCAGAAATTATTATTATACTAAAAATATGCTATCGTATCACTTGGAGTCCTTGTCATATGGTATCTAGGGTAAATATTGAATAGAAACACTAGTTGGACTTCACTCTGCCATAAATTAACCCTGCCAAGAACATTTCAGTTTAAAAAAAAAAACAAAACCCTAAAACATAGCCTTGAAGTAGATTCTGTGGGTGCAGACAAGCCGTACGTCTCCCTCACTCTTTGGAAAATTTCAGCTATATTTTTACCATATTCAAAGATTTTTTCAGTATTTTGAGAATAGCAAAGATTACATTCACCACCTTCTGGCCTCTGTTTTAACTCCCACTGGTGCTTTACATTCCTCTCATTCAATAAATGTTGTTCCTGAGTTTATTATTCTTAAATAGAATTTCTGTAGATTCTTATGTTAACTAGGAAAATTAAAACCAGCAGATTTTAATGCCAGTTAAAATGACAGTGTTTTGAACATGACTTGATTTTGCCAAATATTTTGCTTCTTAGTAAATCTTACAGGAGAACAAGGAAGGAGAAAAGAACAGTCCTTGAAGGTACTGCCGCTAACATTGAAAAATTTTGTAAGATCTTTTAAAGTAAAATACTTACATTGGAAACTGTGAACTCATAGTAAATGTAGGCTTTACTGTCAATTGTACCTAAAAAGTGAAGAAAGAAGTTTACATTTGCAGTGTGGAAAGGAACAGCATTAAAACCACAACTGTGGCACTACTAGAGACCAATAGATTTCTAATTATTATCATTACTGCATTTAGAGACTGCACTGAGTGTCTCAAATATTTACTAATGTTTCTCTGAGAAATGGAAATGTCTCCTTTACTTTTTTCCTTAGGACAGTCTCCCAGGATGTCTAATTTATCACATTTCCCAAACATTCATTGAAACCAGCTTTTCTGAAATGTACTGTTTTTTTTTAAATTTTATTTTATTTTACTCTTACACCTTCTTACCTTGTCTTAAATGTAGATGAATGGCTTGAAGCTAATCCTTTAAAATACCCTAAACAGTGTTTTTCATGCAAAAATGACAAGAATAATAGCAATAATCTCTACCACAGAACCATAAGAGAGGAAATAATGCACACCCAGGGAAAAGAAATCCAAATGTTGAGTCAATCTGGCATTTTTTCCACCATGTATGTAACGGAAAATACTGTCATTGCAAACAAATTGTAAACAGTTTCCCTGAAGAGAGTGCAACCTGTAAGTTTTGGTCAGGAAAGAAACTCATAAGATGTTTTATTGCTTTGTTTCTTAACAGAAGTGAGTACAATAATAGCTTTGTTATTTTAGGCCTTGACAAAGGAGTACATAGAGCTGTCACCCATACCTATAGCAGCCACCCAAGACCTTCGATATTTATGGCAGCAATAACCAGACAAATCACAGCTCTATTTCTTAAAAGCATCCCAAACTTCCACAAAACTAAAAATAAAGTAATAGAGGCTTGAGAATTTTTCTGGGTGATACGATTGGTACAATGAAAATAACAAATGAGAGATCCTCAGGTTGAATGCATACTGAAGAGAACAAGGTAGCTATGCAATTAGGAAATGGGAATGCAGCTTTGAAGGCCAAGACCTGCCTGCTTTCATGGAAGTTCAGTTGAACCCCTGATCCCTGCACAAGTGAAACAAATATATTGTGACAAAGGATAAAGGTAGCTTTTAGCAAGAGGAGAATAAACCAAAGAAACTAGACCACTTAAGTGTCTAGAAGGTGATTAGTTGTAGAAGATGTTAGTCTTTTGTTAGTTGTATCTGAAGTAAGAATGCACGAATTCAGATACTGCTGCGGATTTCATCTTCTACCGATTCTTAGCATCAAACCCTAATTATTTGCATTCTTGTCCCCCTTGAAACCAGTCTCTATGAATGCCAGAATATGGCTTGACCGCATGGTTTAACAGTCAGCATGTTAATGTAGCAAACATTAATGTATTTAAGGCCATAGTGAAACCTAAACAAGTGAAAACTAAATCATTAACAATTACAGCTTCACTATTAATAGTGCTGAAAAAGTAATGCTCAGGTATTAATAGGAGGCTTCTATATTCACAATGCCTTATTCTTGCTCCATGAAATCAGCAGGACGATTGAAACTTGTATGCATTAAAGTTTTGCTAATAATACTTATTTCACAATTGTTAACTGCTCACCTGTAGATTCTCCATCATCCCAGAACAAGTTCCCAGAAGCAGCATTATTGTCATCCAGAGCAATTATAAGTCCCATTGGATTCTTGCGGCTGTTGAAAGAGAGATTTTCTGTCTTACATCTGTAACAAATATCAAACCAGCCTGAATGCATCCTTCATGTTCATTTTGAGAATGTGACGCTCAACAGGGCTGCAATACTTTGAGAATTACCTTAGATTAGCCCTTGGCTGCCTTTCATTTTTATGTCAATTTATTAAAACACATGGCAAGTTTACAAAACGCTATGCAAATAAACCTGGAATTAATCACTGCGCCTGTCATGTGAACAGTTGTGGAAGCGTGGCTCACAGTTACCCCCATATTTCAAGGCAAAAATGCTAAATACAGTGGGCTGCTACTGGTTTGTAACCTGAAAGTCCCAAGGCCAGTCTTGAAGAAAAAACATAAACCCACTCAGTTTTAAGTCATACCTGGCAACTGTTGTGTTAGCTGGTTGTTGAGTAGGGTAGATGTAGCCTCCTCGCAAATGGAGTCCCATTTTGTCAGCTGGCAGGTACATATCAGTCCATTCTTTTCTCACTGAAATTTTTGCTCCCTTATTGACAGGGAATTAAAACAGAATGGGTATGTTCCATTACTCTCTGCTGTGAACTTTTTCTTACACCCTGAGTTTTATATTAATGCTTCCTTTTAGAAAAGGCTCAAATTATGTAAATATCTACTTGCCAATGGGCACATAAAGGCATTGAGTCATGCACTTAACCCACCACCTTTCTTCCCTTATCTCACCATTTACTTCCTGCAGGGTTTACTTTAGGCGTCTCTCACCAAAGCAGGGCTGAAAATCTTATTTCATCACATCACCATTTACAAAATCTCCCCACAGCTTCCTCTGCATTTACTTACCGTATCATACTCATACCACACAGCATCAGGAATATATGCTTGAATTGAAACCACACCCTGGAAGATGAAAAAGAAATGATATCCAGAAAGGAAGAGAACAATCCAAGCACAATTTCTGCAAAGCTGCTGGGAGGCCACTGAATCAACGTTTTACAATTCAGCAGCTCAATGACTTCGACCCAAAGTCACAACGCTTCAGATCCAGTAGCTCATATCATACCCACAAGTATCTCTGTGTCTTCTTTATTTCCCCCTTTTTTTGAGCTGGCATCTTTCAGATCCTTACTTTCATTTATGTATTTAATAAATGGTTTGGTTTTCTCCATGGCATATGTGTTACTGGCATTAACAGTCACAAGTTACAAGATTCTGCCACAGAATAAGCCACAATCTGTTTTCTTGTTGCAGCTCAGACAAGCTGAAAATCAGCAGAAAAGCTGATTCTGATGGAAATTCAGGGATAAAACAAAGTTGAGGTGAATCAGAATATCAGACCAGATGATTTTGACTCCATGGAGGACTGCAAAATAGGAGGAAAACTTCAGCTTGCTGGGAATCCATCTACAGGCTGAAAACCTGAAAGTCCCATGCCCACTCTTGAAAAAAAACCAAAACAAAACATAAACCCACTCAGTTTAAAGGCAGACCTTGCAACTGTTGTGTTAGCGAGTTATTGAATAGGGTCTATATAACCTCCTCTCAAATGGAGTCCCAGTTTGTCTGCTGGCAAGTACATATCAGTCCATTCTTTTCTCACTGAGATTTTTGCAAAAACCATGTTTGCACTGGCGATAGAGCTGTGGTAATGCTGTTGAGCAAGGCCCTCCGCAATCACTTTGCCAAAAGACTTTACAGGTCTGCTCAAGACAAAGAACTGGATCAGAGCAAATTTCCTGGGATCCTTGGGGAAATATCAGAGCCTACTTTTGTGGTTCAGCTTTTTGCAGCATTCAAAAGGAGGGGGAGTGTGATTTCAGAAGGAAAGGCATATATAGTAGAGGAGCTATAACCTTTAAGCTGAATAACAGAATTGTCACAAGACCAAACAACAAAGGTTCAGAACTTGAAGGTGGTTTCTAATCAGAGAAATAAAGGAATAACAGGACTGGCAGTAGCCTGCCAGACAAAAGAGCTGGAACTGGTTCCTCAAAGTATCCCTGTGCCCTATGAAGTGATCATGAGATAGATACCAAACCAGTCAAACCTACTGAGTACAGGGGAAATACGAAGCCCAGGATCCCACAGTAACTGCTTATAGATATTCCATGTCTCTTCATCAGAGTAGAACCTGGGCAAGTGGAAGGATATAGCAGTAACAGTGTTTAGGAACTATACCATCATCAGCAACCCCAAGATTTCAGGGCAATAACTATTTAGAATCATCACTGTAGAGTGGAATATCAAAATACATCAGTCTTCAGAAAGTCCTTAACAACATTTAGTGTGTTTGATTTATTTATTCCCAATAAGAATACCACAAAGGCTGATGAGTAAACTTACTCTTGCACAAGTGGTCGTACAACTGTGTCTCCCTGAGTGTGAGCTTTATAAAGAGTGCATACAGGGCAGGAAAGTGTAGTAAACATTGAAGAAAAGGAAAGGAATACTTGGAGGCTTTCACAAACACTGAATCAGGTCCAAACACAGCTGATCCTGAGGCTGAAAACAAATATAATATTATTATTACTATTATTTTTTTTCAACAGGCAGAAAACAGTCTGCCAAATGTGAAAAGTGCTATTTCAGAGACAGAAATTCAACGGCACATAGCTGCAACGTGTTTGCCTTTTCAGTTCTGTGACACCAGAACCTGCTTCTATGGGCTCACAGAGTTTTGAATTGCACGTTCTCCCCTACCCATCTTTAACAGCAGAGTCATTCAACACATTTTAACTGACTATTAGCTAACACTGCCCATAAATCTATTTCTTCCAAAACTTTATCTTCTTGTTTGGTGCTAATATGCCCACAGTCGGGAAAAAAAGTTAAAAATTCAGACAAATTTAAATCATGGAAAGGAATTTGGTCTACTGCACAGGCACCAGATGGTTTTCGAACCATCAGGTTTCAGTTGTAATCTTCAAGTTCTCTGTGAGATACACATTGCTTGTATTGTGTATCACAGAATCATAGAATCATAGAATAGTTAGGGTTGGAAAGGACCTTAAGATCACCAAGTTCCAACCCCCCTGCCATGGGCACGGACACCTCACACTAAAGCACATCACCCAAGGCTTCATCCAACCTGGTCCTGAACACTGCCAGGGATGGAGCATTCACAACCTCCCTGGGCAACCCATTCCAGTGCCTCACCACCCTAACAGGAAACAATTTCCTCCTTATATCCAATCTAAAGTTCCCCTGTTTAAATTTTAACCCGTTACCCCTTGTCCTGTCACTACAGTCTCTTATGAAGAGTCCATCCCCAGCATCCCTATAGGCTCCCTTCAGATACTGGAAGACTGCTATGAGGTCTCCACGCAGCCTTCTCTTCTTCAGGCTGAACAGCTCCAACTTCCTCAGCCTGTCTTCATAGGGGAGGTGCTCCAGTCCCCTGATCATCCTCGTGGCCCTTCTCTGGACTTGTTCCAACAGTTCCATGTCCTTTTTATGTTGAGGACACCAGAACTGCACACAATACTCCAGGTGAGGTCTCACAAGAGCAGAGTAAAGGGGCAGGATCACCTCCTTTGACCTGCTGGTCACGCTGCTTTTGATGCAGCCCAGGATACCGTTGGCTTTCTGGGCTGCGAGCGCACACTGACTGCCCATGTTCAGTTTCTCATCAACCAGCACCCCCAAGTCCTTCTCTGCAGGGCTGCTCTGAATCTCTTCTTTGCCCAACCTGTAGCTGTGCCTGGGATTGCTTCGACCCAGGTGTAGGACCTTGCATTTGGCATGGTTAAACTTCATGAGGTTGGCATAAACAGCTTACAGTAATGACTGTCATCAGATATCTGCAGATAACTTTCTTTAAAATGTTTCATGAAGTATCTTTAAAAAAAAAAGGACAGCTACAACAACTCAATTTTGATCCCAATTCCACAGATTATTTTAAAAGACATTTAACTGTAATGTTGAGAGCTACAGAGAAAGATTTCTTACCCATGGCATTGCTATTCATTAGGAAAACACCAAAGGAGGCTCCAGTGTTGTCTTCCAAACACAGAAAGAAAGTTTGAACTCCATATAAGTTATTCATTGACTTAAAGGATAAAAAGGGAAAGTAAGATGATTAAAATCTAATAACAGTATCTGTTCTGGGGTATTTAAAAATGTATCACAGGTAGAACTTGAAACTTCTCAAAATATAGCCAACAATAAAACAAAAATCCTGACACCTTCCTACAGTTCTGTTTTTTTCTTCCTGGCATACATCTCTTTTATGAGAACTTTTTGCATTAAAACAAACACTTCCCCAAATATACAGGTAACACAAGCAAGCAGATGTGATGGATCTTCAGGCAAATCTGCATATAGCAGTACTATTTCTGGGTAATATCTACGCACATCAAGCAAACAACAGAACTTGAAGAGTGCTTTCATCACCTTTCACCATAGATTAGATTTTACATCTAATCTGTATTTCTCTTAATCTTGCAAGATAATTGTTTTTATGTCTAATCTATGGAAATAAGAGTGCCTTGCTTTATTTCATTTCTTTTCTAATGTTGTTTTTCTGTTATTATTAGCAACAAAAACCTTAAAAATTTTAACAACTTTTGTAATAGTTGTTTCCCCTATAAAAGAGAACTCAGAACAGTGTAATAAGAAACAGAACTTCAGTGACTTAAAATTAGTCTAACTTGATTCTGTTCACTGTTAGTTTAACTTAATGAGTCTACACTCAATAGAGCTGTTCAGATAAGAACTATCTTCAAACCTGAATGTACTAATTACTAAGAACAGGTAGCTTATAAGAGGAATATTTAGTAGACATAAAAAATAAATGTGATTATTTCTACAACAGTGTTTGTTTATAGTGAGACAAATGTGAGCTAATATACATATTGCTCCTGAAAACAAAAATGAGCTTCATGATATTTCACCAGGGCAAATCATACTGTGCATCACTTTCTTCAGTAATTTTATCTTGACAGCACATAATTAGTTTCTCCTGTCAAATTCCTCCACAGCTATCAAATTTACAAAGAAAATAAAAAAATCTAACAAACCCACAGAAAAGGTAGAAAACTCAGAAGACATGAGAAATAGAAGGGGGGTGTGTGTATACATATATGTTTATTTCAGTGTCACAGAGGGCTGCTAATATAGAATTACAGTTGTCAGAGCAGTTGGATTTAGACAAGAAGCAAGGTCCTGTTGGGCTGCAGAGTGTCTTAACCAGCAGAGCTGGAAACAACCATGCTATCAAAGGAGACAGCTGAGAAGCAGGATTTTTTTTATGCTTGTCCTACAGCTGTGCTTAGCTAGGACCTTTTTCTGCGCAGCGTTTCCTTGCCAGCTAATGGTGGAGGACACATAGGTATCACAAATACAGGAGAGACAGCTGAAGGACATACATATTTCCATGGCTCACATTCAGAAGTATCTACCTGCATTGTTAGATGCCTAATTAATTTTAACAATTCAGCTCATAACAATATCCAACACTGATATTGTTGTCCCCAGTGAGCTCACTCAGTGCTTACCTTGCCGTACATAAAAGTAAACACTGCAATGTCTTCTCAGAAAAAAAACTCTCCAAGAAGGTTTCTCAAAGTAAGAGGTACAAATTACAAATTATTAATTAATTACATGCAGTCTCTCCCCCTAGTTTCTATTAGTATATATCCTATTTCAACAAAATACTGAAGTCCTCTCTCAAAGTAAAGCAAATGTATTGCTCCTTTATGAAGCTGAGGTAATAGTGATGAATGGTGTTTATTTGAAGCTCACAAGCTAGTTATAAATCATTACTTTACTTTAGAAACTCCAATAAAAACAGCCCAAAAATATTCATGTTAAAAAATATACTTTCATTCAAGCCTGACATTGATTTCTTTCTCTAAAATGTCCATAATGTGTTGATTATGTACTAGATATGTAAGGTTTTAAATGTTTTTACTCAGAGCATTAACTCAAGTGAGTGCTTAGAAGCTTTAGTAATTTCCATATCCAAGCAAAATATATTCATGAATATAGTAATAATATTTGATTGTTTGCATTCCCAAAGTACAGAAAAATCTTTTTTCTATATATTTTCTGCATACAAAGTCAGAAAAAGCAAGAAGCAGACAATGAGTATCATTGTTTGATTCAGCATGTCATCTGATATTAACCCATATGTCCTCAGTCTATCTCTGTTAACAAATCAATGCAGTGAGGAACTCACAGAGCAGCACCACATACTTGTCTGCTGAAGAGAACTTGGATCAAAGTCTAAGAAGGTGTCCATGTAAGAGTCTTATCTTAGAATTACTGAAAAATGCATGCACTGGAAATCATTTTGGAGAGAGAGCCACACAGATTACAGAAACAAATAACTGTTGACAGACATATTCTATCTTGTAAAAGGGCAGCT